AAAAAAATCTTAAGTAAAAATCTGGAAAGTAAAAATGACTTAAAACGATCGAGGTGAAGGCGATCTACCACGGGGAATTGAAGGTCGTCAACTTTATTAATTAAACATAGGATTTGTTCACTCATGGTAAGAATTTTAGCCTATATTTTCTAACTTTAAGTTGCTGAGTTATTAATCTTAAACTCTTCCTTTATAGAACACTGCTTTGCGAAGCTTGTGTAGACAAATAAAAAATCTTTTTACGTCATCTTGAACTTTCTTGGTCAGTTTATACATTCGATTCATTCCTAATCCTGCTCTGAGCCTTGAATTTCAGTAACTAACGAGAAAAGAATATGAGTAGACATTAATTCCGACACGTGATTCGCAGCCCCACCCCCCATCAATTACTTTGATAAATTAGACATTGATTGGCAACCGTCACTTGAACATAAATCAGACTTTACACGGGATGTCTGTATCATTTATCCGTAAAGGACTCTTCGGTATTGCCGTGAAGACTCCTGGGTACTATTGCGCAATTATTTTCCATTTTTCCGGCTGACGAAGGAAAATACGGAGACGACACGCAACGCATTTTTAGACTTAACCGAGCACTCCGCACTACTTCACACGCTTCAGAGGGAAGCCTTCTGTCGATGTAATTTCCAAAATAAGCTTACTTTGGTGTCCTTTTGAGTGTTGTGATCTTTGTAAAACTCGCTACTCCGCACTCCTTCAGCATTTTGTCTATATTAACAAACTATTCAAACATTAGTCATTGGACCAAGAGATTGATTTTCAATTTTCAACCCTTTTTCGGTTCCTCCGTAGTCTTTTTCCGCTTCTAGCTTTGATCCATGAAAAATTGCCACAGGTAGCCCAACTTCTTACAGTGTCCAAGGATTTCTGGGTAAATTCACTCGGTCGTAAGACTAGAGAGAGTTTTATCCAAGATGGCGGACGGAGAAGCGGGTTTTTAGAAAAAAAATATTATCGGCATAAAATCTCATATTATAGCAATGCAAAATATAATACAGGGTACCAAGCGACAAAACGTCTAATTTTCAGAAGATTTTCTGCTGAGATTTAGTTGCGTGATGGCGATCGAAGGTTCTGTGCAGCAAGACGTGAAGGACCAGACAGGATGGGATAGAGTCAAGGCACTGTTTGAAACAAGGTATAAGTGATCATATTATTTAATAGTATTGAACATTTATACATGCATAGATATTGAGCACGTAGTAGTAGTCTATGAGGGAGTAACTAGTGCGAAATCTACTTGACATTGGGAAGTTACCATCGCTAAATTTCTGTAAGCTTAAAACTTATTTTATATCATATCTAGTAATATATCAAAATAATGGTTGTTCAATGGACAAACGTCTCTATATTGTGCTGGTCTGGCCAAAGGACAGTCTAAAATCTAAAATCTAAAATCTACAAAGCTTTTCGCTGTCACATCACAGCGTGGGACAATCACAACAGAGCTAGGCTCCAAACTAGGTGAAAGCCCAAAGATTGAATTAGAATTTAGAAGTTGATTTTTGAGGAGGGAGGAAAACCAGAGAACCCGGAAAAAACCCCACGAAGCACAGGAGAGAACCAACAAACAACTCTGCTCACATACGACATTGAGATCGGCAGGACTCGAACTCGGGCCGCATTGGTGAGAGGCGGGGCATTAGCAGCGCACGCCACCCGTGCTTCCCAGTCATCTTGACCTGTTGCATTGACTGGTCACATGTTCAGTCTGATGTGTCATGTCCAGCCATTGACCAGTCATCATTTTTGTTCTGTATTGGTGAGAGGTGAACAAATCTAAGAACCTGCTTATTTACTTCTAATGGCTGAATTCTGATCGCATTCTCTTTCATTTACACCTTTTGCAGTGAAGACGGTACTATATCTGAAGAACTACAGAGCATTCCAACCATTATTGGTATTGGTTCAGTGTTTGGCTTCCTACTTGGTGGTCAGTTTGGAATCAGGATTGGTGCCGATCATTATGTCAAACAAAATCAACTCACTGTTTACCACTCTCAAATGCATGCACAGAGAGAATTCCAATCAGCCAAGACACTTGGATTTGTCAAATATGGGTCAAGATGGGGCTGGAGGATGGGATTATTTGCAGGTTTATACAGGTATTATCTCAGTCCTATCTTAAACCATCAGTGGATAGATAAAAAATAAAATAAATTAACTTTGTTTATAGAGGATAACACTTGACAGTAATTCAACTGATAAACTTGTTGTCCTCTTTTAATGTCTTTGGATAATTAGGGATAGAACTGCCATTGACGTGGTCATCTAAGCCATGCGAAGGTCTTAACCTTTGCAGGTGTAATTACAGAGGCATCACGAAGCAGACTGCTTCTCAACACTTCTTGATTTATTTGTCAATCCCCAAATGTTTTATAACCTAAACTCCACACTAAAAAGCTAGCAATGTTTTTTTCTTTTATAAAATACAAATCACAATAACCGTTATTTTGGATAGGCAGGACACAACAGTTACTGAAAGTGAGCAAGTGTGCTGTGTGCTGTCATAAAGCAATCAAAATGCAAGATTTATAACAATTATTTCATAAAAGAATTTAGCAGATGTTTTTTTCAATCTACCCTGCAAGCAGAGGCTATTTTTCTTTTACTCTGTAGGGCATCACAGCAGGCTAAAGCTAAAACAGAGGATAGAAAAAGTCTTCTGCAGGCAGGGTAGCGTCAATTCAATGGCAAGTGTTTTTGAAATTTAAGGGATTTTATTTTACATGATGTGTTTATCTTTAAACAAATGTTATTATTCATTATTTCATCAGCTTTTTATTAACTCTATCCACAACATATCGTGACAAGAATGATGCTTTGAATTATGTGGCTGCTGGAGGTATAGCATAAAGTAGATTACCAAACTATCTTAGTGTAAGATATAATTATATATTTTACTTAGTAAATTTCTGGCTGTTTGCTATTCCCTTGCATACAGGATTACAGCACTAGGAACATGTTCAATAGGAATATTAATTTATTATTATTAATTATTACTTATAAATTATTATTAGTCAATTTTTGCAAAGAGATGGAAAGATAAGAATCTATAGTCTTAAATGAATTTCTTTCAGCAACCACCACTTACTGTGCTCAAACAAATACTCATTTTCCAATGTATGCCATTGGATTTAGGATGTCCCACCTTGTAAAAATACTGCTAATATTTTTACATTTTGGTCCAGCTTCCACAGGAGCCTTATATAAACTATTTGGAGGGTGGAGAAGCATGGTAGTATCCTCGTTAATCTGTTCTGGTGTCAGGTAATGTACTTTTTATTTCCAATATACTTTTGCATTGCTGGTATCAATGTATCTCAGTATCCTATCTAAGTCAGAATTTATTGGAAGGAAAAAAACTGGAGAAAAAAATCCTTCAATCAAGGGTGAGACCACATGCGATGCCGAGTCCAAAAAAATGAATTTGAGGTTCCTAATATATTGATTAATTAATTATAATTTTTTTGAATTTTATTAGTCTACCAATTGGATTATTAGCCCAAGCTGGGAATACTTTCTTGATCCCTGAAGAATATAAAATAAAGGTGAAGGAAGAAAAAGAACAAAAAAGAAGAAAATGGCAAGTACTTTTGAAGGGATGATAGGTCCTAGTAATGAACCTTGTGGTATGCAGTGGAAATATGTAATTTGACTTGGTATCAATTTTTTAAACTTTTTTTAAGACTTTTTCATAAAGCTTAAAAAGTTTGTATTCAAATATGTTGAAAATTTTCATCACCCATCTGGAATTTGTAACATAAAGAGCTGTACAATATTGTTGTTTAAAGAGCTAAATATGTTTTTTAACTGAACAGGGAAGAACAACTCCAAGTAACAGACAGTATTATTGAGAACATGGAAAAAGAACTGGAGTCTGAGAAAGAGCAATCTCAAGTTTGATTTGTTTTAAGGTATTAATTTATGAAGGCTTTGTGTAATCATTAATAAAATAGTGACCAAATGTGCATGACTAAACCAATTCTCTTTTATTATCATAAAAAGTACAAGTTTTCAGAAATGACCTTATTATATCATCCTTGGGTTTTTTTTAAGGAAATTCTAAACTGGGTGATTTTACATTTGGAGACTTATTTTCATTAGGGCTTTGAACACTAGCATTTCTAAATTTCCTTCTTAAAGCTATTGTTATTAAGTCTGAGGTGTCATTTTCTGATAAACGGCGCTGTCGCTTTGCTGGCGTTCCACCAGGGGACCTTTTTAGTGGTGTACTTTTGAGTTCAACTGTGCGGCAGTGCTTAATACTCCTTAAAAGATCTTGATTAAGTACCTGTAAAGGGGTCCTTTGTTCATTCAAAGTGGAACAATCTCCCATCTTTTTGGGTGCTGCCTGTGTCTTAGGAGATTGTCTACTTTTTGGAGTTTTGTGTAAATTTTTAGGTGTGCAAAATGGGATCATTGGGGGAGGGGGTGGTGGTGGAGGTGCAGCAGGGGGAGGCATGGGTTGGTCTTTGGGCAACCCAAAGTTCTGTAGATTTAAGTTACACTTTTCTGTTACTATGTTATTTCTTGTACAGTATTTTCCAACTTGGTGGAACATTTTTGCTAAGTTTCTTCTTAATACTGCATCTTTCGTATCAGGAAAACTGAAGGTACCTAGGGCTTCTAGTGTCAAGTAAAGTTGTTGCAAATGTGCATTCTTTAGTTGGGTATTTTCCTATAATAAATAAGAATATATTATGTATCAGAAGTAATTAATGCAAACATTATGGAACATTGAAAAGTTAATAGATGGTCAATCCCCCTTCAATCTTTTCTATTTCTTGAAACGATCTTATCTATCTGGGGGAGGGGGAGGGCACTCCCCTATATTTGCCATACGGGTACATGCCGCCAAACAGGGTATGGTTTTCAGTGATTCTACTCTGGAACAGGATATGAATTGCCCTATTTCACTATGACGTCACATCAAAACAATCTATTGTTTAAACACAAAGGATGATGGTCGTTGGAGGGGGTCAAATCAATGCAAATTCACCGAAAATTGTTCTAAAACCTGTATCTATCCATGAAGAGAAGTAGAATAGACAGTAAACGCTCAGAATATTTTTTATTTTTATGCAGTCATCCTTTACCTCGTCAATTCTCTGGTGTAAATTCTTGTCTTTTGCTAACACTAAAGCAATCCATTCTTCTTCTAGAGTTTTCTGCTTGGCTTTATAAAAGAAGACAAAGAATAAAAAATATAAGATGTTTTTGTGGAACTACTTACAAATGTCGGCGCAAATTTTTGGATTACTTTAATTTCTAAGTTTATATAATTTTGATAAATGTACGATTCCTTGGTTTAAAAACAGCTTTTTAGTACACAAACGAAACCACCTTATCATCTATAAGAAATAGGCAAAAAACTTAGCTTTGATTTGAACTTCTGCTTGATATTAATGATAACTTCATAAAAAAAACTTCATACAACATAAAATTAAGCTTAACTCAATTTTTGGGTCAAAATTCGTACATTTCCCCACAGTGAAAAACTAATTAAAGCTTTTGACGTTCTTAATAAGATAAAAGATAAGATGTTAAGTATAAATGCTACCAACCTTCTTCTTCCTGATCATACGATTCTCGTATCTCCACGATTCGATTCTCAAGGATTTTTTCCACTTCGAAGCATTCTTTTGCAGCATCAATTTTCGTTCTCCAAGAGTAGAATCTGGATTCTGCGAACGAAAATAACTAGTGCTTATTGTAAATCAGTGATATAAGGGAAGATAGGTTGAGTTAGAATACCTATTTGGTGGTGATTTTCTGCACAGATCGTCTGGATTTCGTTTGTGGTGAACTTGGATTCGATCGCCATGTTGTTTGTTGTCTTGTGGATTCAAAATGCGAACCGATTTGAATGGACGACTGCGATTGGTTGACATCAGCTGGTCAGTAACAGAATTGTATTGTACACCACAGGGAACCCATAAGTAGAATTTCGTCAGCAATAAAAAATAAGATTAAAAAATAGAAATAATAATAATATGAAACATAAAATGAAATAACATAAAAAAATATGAAATGAAATGAAACGAAAGAGATGAAGAGAAAACAAATAACGAAAGAAAAGAAAAGAAAGACAAAATTAAAATAATTTAAACGAAATGGTAAAAAAGAAAGGTAAAAAATAAAGCTTGAAGAAAGTAATAAAATCAATGTAAATATACCAACAAAGGTATACAGAAAAAATTTTAAAATGAAAATTAGAAACAGGGGTGGTAGTGGTTGTGTGTGTGTGTTAGGAGGGCGCGGGGGTTCTTGAAAGGATTTCCTATTACAAACATTTCATCGTATTCCTAAACCCATTCAAGGTCCTTTACTTGTTAATTTTCCCCTTGATGTATCTAGTACACAAGTTTTCAACCATTCCAAAGTGAATTAAATAACAAAAGACACGGCGGCCATGTTGGAGGATATAACAGAATTCATTGGCAATTCTTTTGTTAAGTTCCTCCAACATGGCCGCCGTGAAAACCATCAATATCAGGATGCACAGTACTTTGGGAGTCATAATATATTTTTATTTTCTTTATTCCTCAATAATACTTTATGGTTTTACTCAATAAAAATATTTTCTAAATACTGATAAATCAGAAATGTTGTATAGCTATTATTCTTGATAAATCTTATTGTTTAAATTTTTGATTTTAATTTTTTTAAAAGTATTAGTACATTAATATTTATTAGAATTTGAGAAAGGCAGTCGGTTTTTTTTTACTTTTCCTGTTCCCGTTTCGCTTCTTAACCATTCCTGTAAATAAGAAGAAGATGAGTTTAGTCACAGGTGCCTCAGCCTTCGCAGACCTTTGAAAAGTAGTGCCTTTTTCGCCTGCATTGTTAGATAAATCCAAAATCTAACAACACAGCGAAAAAGGAGTTTTCAAAGGTCAGTTATGATTTCTTTTTAAGGTTAAGCCTTTTGATAATGCCATACTTTTTGTTATAATATGACACCACAGAAACTTAGCTACCTGTGTCATTAGTGCGTTTGATATACTTTCAAAATAGAGCTCTACTAAAGCTCTTCAAATTCTACCTAGTTAAAACCAATCCATTCATTCGGAAACAGAACTACTTGGCTTGCCTTAAGGTTTTTAAGAATGCCATACATTTTCTTATAATATGACACCGCATAAACTTAGCTTGGGCTACCTGTGTAATTAGTTAATTAAAACCAATCCATTCTTCGGAACCAAAACTTGGCTTGCCTTGGATTGCTATAATCCATTCAAGTTATAAATGATAACAATACTCTTACTAGTAATTCACCAAAGTATTGTATATTGAGCGTATGGAAGCTTTAAATGTCGCTTTAAATAACCCTATACTCTCCAAACCCGTATTGTATTTTCAAATGCTATTGTATTTTAGTCTTATCTGGATCTTTTCATTATCTTTTGGTATTGCAACAAGCCCCTTGAATATCTTATTACGGCATGAAATTTTCGCGACATGATATTGCTCCACTTTCGAAAGGTACTTACGATATACTTGGACATGTTCCTTGAACTTTTCAGTTTTTCAGTAGCCATTTTGTTTCTGTTCCTCAACCTTCTGCAATCTGCCTCCATTGCTGCACATTGTTGGGGCATTCAGGGAGTGCATACTAATGCCGTTTTTGCGGCGATTTCGACTTTTCGACGTGCCCAGAAACTCGTTCGCTGGATATGACACGCTCTTCGACAGGCTATGACTGTGGAAGTCGAAATTTCCAATCCGTTTTGTGATGATAAGGCCATCTGAGGGTGGCCGTTTATTGCTAACGTGGTTGCAATTGGAATCGGCTCTTTCAGACTTCTTAACATCACAATCTTGCTTTGGAACTGGTGGATTGTTTTTATTGGGCTTTTTGGCTTTGTGTTGCGAAAAATTTCTTTCTCTTTGCCCTATATTTTTGTCGGGAACTTTGTTATTACTATTTTTTTCATCGGCATGGGTGCTTTGTTTGTTATGCGTTTCAAACAAGTTGAAAGTCGCATCTTCAAGATCATCCCCGTTCGCGCAGATACATTCCAAAGTATTGTTAACCTTACTGTGATCTTGGCTGAAGCTATTTTCATACGTGTTATCTTGGGCAGCATAAAGAGCAGATGCGTCTTCTCTAGATATGTCATCGGAGGATGCCTCTGATTCTGTTTTAGAAGTACAAGTGGTAGAACTCCTTTTAATGAAGCAAGAAGACTCGGATAGGTCTGGAACTTCTATGTTCTTTGGCATAGCATGATCCCATTCTTGATCACTGTAATTTGGTTCGCTGTCATTGATTTCGCTCTCACTTTTGAGCATTTGGTCTGAGTCCTCCAATTCTGATGTTGGAAGCTCAATATAATCTCCTTGGTACCTGCAGATTTGTACTATTGGCAAGGAGTCAGTGTAGTTCGTCTCATCTCTGCCTACATTCTCGTTGTCGGACTTCATGTTTTGTTCAATGCCCTCTTCTATTTTGTCAATGTTAGAACTATAGCTCACCAAGGGGATTAATTTCCTGGCAGGTCTTCCTCGCTTTTCTTTTGGCACGACAGTCTCTGAGAAGAACTCGTTGTTCGATCTACCTAAGTTTAGAATATCGACACTTATCGATTTTGACCTGCTCGCGACATGTTTACGTATTTCTGCCATTTCTTTTTGCGTCTCTGCATCAACAAAGGGCAAACTGCTACGGTGCTTATGAAAGGACGGTGCCATTTCATGTTGAGCAGCATTCTGATCAATACTCAGTCGCCGAATGAACGACGATGAAGGACTAATAGTTCCCAAGCGAATGGACTGAGTTCTTGGTTGCATTGGTACATTCTTTTCCGGTCGCCAAAGGATGATGTATAACTTGGGCACGAATATACATCCATATGCCGTCGATCCCCCGATAACGAACACAGAACACGTAACCACTGTCCGGTAAATACCACTAGTCCCATTATAGGTAGGTATATACATAATGACCACGATACAGGTGGTCAACATGGCAAAGCTGATGAACTTTGACTCGTTGTAGTTTTCTGGCAGCTTACGAGTCAAAAAGACTTGATAGGTGCAGGTTACCACGAGACCGACGATGTATGCCCACCAAATGGCAACCCAAATGTCAGGAAGCGACCTGCATTCGATTATCAGTTCATTTTTGTTGTCAAATGTGACAACATTTCTCCCAATGTCACTGAAATAGGTACACAGAGAACAGATGAACATTTCGACAAGAGTTATGCAGGCGACCATAAGAAGTTGCCATTTTTTGGAAAGGCAGGCCGGAGCTCCTGCTTTGCTTAGTTTACGGTTGAAGATTCTTGATATCCTGTTTGTCTTTGTCAAAAGTGTTCCCACAACCAGTGAAGGACAAAGACCAGTTGCAAATGGAATGATCCGACATATCATATCCGTTGGCTCCAGCAAATAAAACACAGGGATAACAAAGCACCAGCCAATCCCAAATAGCAGAACGTAACATAGCTCTCGACTTGAAGCTTTGACTACTGGGGTTTCTCGATATATGACGAAGACGATGAAAGCGAAAATTACCGCTACACTTCCTAATCCCATACTTATGCATAAAACCAGACCGGCCGGATGAAGCCAGTGAAGAATATTTGGTTTTATTGCTTCACATTTGGAGTTGTCAGAATTTGACCAATATCCATTAGGACACTTAAAGCAGAATTCTCTGTCCGTGGTATTAGATACTGTCCTTCCCGTACACTTCCTGCAAGTCCAGCAACATTTTGCATGGGCAAGTTCTGCCGAGACTTTATGATAACCAACCGAACATGTTGCACTGCATCGAGAAAACGGGACCAGTCCTTCCCATGTTGAATTCATTAGTCTTTGATCTGTTTTCTGTTTTTGTAACTCTAGACAGCTTTTCGAAGAGTTAAGTCCACAGTTTCCTGATCCCCATCTTCCAATCTTGAAAAAGTCATAATTTTCTCCAACAAGTTTCAAATGCCTTATATCATATATACCAATAGCATCCCCTGATTCGTCAAAATACATGGTATCTCGAGACATTCCAGGAAAGCGCACTTTCTCCAGGTATCGAACAAAAGTCTTTTGAAACTGCGGTGACGAGATTTTGTACTTTTTTGAGCTGCAGTCCTTGTATGGCTCACATCCTAGAAAATTATGTAAAGCGTAGGCAACAGCCAGAACTGCGTCCATGACATACGGAGCCTTAGGGTAATGAACGAACGTTTGACGATGAAATGCTGGGTCGTATGCAACTTTCTCATCTTCATATTCGTGCATCCATGGATTTCGTTTACGTCTTTTTTCATTAAAATTGACAAAGTATTCCATAAATTCGCCAATTTTTCGGACCTCGGGGACGATTGCGAACATTCCATTTAAGATTTCTTCGTTTCCTTTCAATACTTGTTTCGAATCAGCCCAGGCGTCTGAACCTATCCAAATGTATTTCTCATTAATACCTTGTTCACGGATCTTGTCCATCAAGATCTTTGCGTCGTGCAGTTCTGCAAAAAGAATGACAACTTTTGCTTTCGGGGTTTCTCTCATACGTCGGAAAATCCTTTTAAACGTTTTCTGGTCAGACCGTTTTGTAAACGTTTCATCGACAGGGATGCAAATATCATAATCATCAAAACTTTGAGCCGCTTGCTTGAAGGCTTCAATGCCCGATCTACCGTATTCTGTGTCAGAGGCTAAAGTAATCACGTAGTTCCAGTTCATCGCACGAACCAAATCCGCCATGACTTGAGCTTGCAACATGTCACTTGGAACGGTTCTAAAAAAGTATCTAAACTGAACTTTATTACTAAGAAGCCTGCTTGTTGACCCGTAGCTCACCAATGGTACATAGAACAACCCGCATAAGTTAGTTACCGCCATGGAAACACCGCTATAAGCTGCTCCAACGACGGCCACAGTTTTAGTTTCTCGACTATTTGAGGACTCATCCGCTGAACATTTTCCTTGCATGTTTGCGTTTCGAATGAAAGAAAATTGTAAGGATTCTCGGACAGCATTGTCTGCATTCGTACACGTCTCTTTTATGTCCATCCCGACAGTTATATTTGGGAGGACTTTGTTTTTCAATGCACCTTCATTTAACATATCCATGGTAAAAAGCATGGTCTCTACAGCTTCAAAACCACATGTATTGAATTCACCTTGACAAGTGAATTCATCAGGATCTTGGCCCTCCATGTTAAGAGGCGAAAAATGGACCGGTGACAAGCCACCAATGATTACATCCCCGTCCTTAAATACAAACTTTGAAGCCCTTTTCTGTTTTGAACTGACAACATTCTCACTGATAGCCAAGCACAATAACGTCAAATACAGGAAGGATTTTGAGAAAGCGTCGAAGATATTCGTCATGGTGGTGTGTAGCGCTAGAAACGCGCTTATCGATCTCTTGTGGATCGTTTTGGACAACCGTGATCAAAATTATAACGCCTCCTGGAGCACATTCAGCTTGCTTACATGCTTGGTCGACTGTGGAAAATCAAATGTTAATTGAGAAGGAGTCATACAATATTGTTGGGTCATAACAAAAGGTAGAATAGAAAAAAACAACCTTCTCGTGAGCTCTTTTTGATTACTGCTTAGAGATTGGCTATTGAACACTGCCGTAGCTAATCCATGATATTTATTCTTTGACAAACTTTGACAGAGGAAATGATAGTCCTTGACGAACAAAGGACCAGTGAAGCAATTAAAGAACTAAATGCCAAGCTAGAATCGATTAGCGGGATACAGGATGTAATAAACTGGCTTCGTGGTAATTAATCTTGCTGAACCACCTATTCCAGCGATACTTTTTTTTTTTTTTTTTTTGCTTCGGTAGATACATATATCATTCTCGTAGGCCCGGTTGTACGAAGGCCTGTCGATAGCGATAGTGCTATCCGATACTATTCTTAGAATTAATGTTTTGCGTTTTGCTTCATCGAGTTTCCAAAACAATACATGATCTTTTGGGAATTAACTTAAACATTATTGAATTGAAGAACGGTTGACTACCCTATTATCCAAATGTGCCTATTTTTACTTCAGGTGCCATATGAATTTGTCACCAAGTACGACTTAATAAAAATTTCACTGTATTTTCATTATTAAGCAAACCTAACTAAGCTATTTTCTTTCTTTTGCAGCCTAATTAGAATTAACTTTTATTGATTTTCTGGTAATGCTTTTAATCAACGCCGTATTCAAATGTCCAGTATTTACGATGAGTTGATTTTTAGCTAATGGCCTGTTAGTCAGCTTCATTAGATGGACTTTGCGACGAGTTCACTAAGCTTTTCTGGCTTAATTTAGATAGCCCATTATTTATAAAAGAAGAATGTTAATATTGGTGGCTAATTTTCTGACCTACCAATTCATTCATGGTTGTTACAGGTTAGGGAAATGTTTTTCGAGTTCATACAGATTTTTTTCACTTTTGAGTTTCGAGTTTTTCCACGGGAAGAGGGGCCTGCCCTTCGCGCAACTCTCTTTTCTTCGGCTTGGATTCCCTCTATCTTTCCTAAGATTGATCAGTTTGCCATGAAAACCGACTTTGTCTAGTCTTTCTTGAACTCGGCAGGTGTTTCCAACCATCATCGGGCATGTTTTCCGACAATGAAAAGCAGGACAATCTAGTTTGTTTTACTCTCATGCGGACTAGTTTTCCGTTTTCCGTCGTTCCAACAATAGTTGAGAGAAAAAAATGTCCAATCGAAAATGGAGACCGGTTTAAAGTTGATATGTCATTTGACTGCCCAAAAAGATTAAGACGGTAGATGGCAGCTGATAGGGATTTTCGTTTTAGAGCGTGGCATTGATACCAGCTTTAAGCTTACAAAATCAGGACGGAAATTTGGTGGTGGTGTGATTATCGTACCAGATAAAGTCTAACCACTGCTCAGTTAATTTAAAAATAAAACAAATTAAAGATGAATCAGTCGACAACACCGGCGCGACGACGTTTTATTTCGGAAAATCTCTAAATTCCTACGTAATTATTTCGGAAAATCGTCGGAAAACATTTTCCAAATCAACAAGAGAAATTTAATTTCAGTTTTCGCAGTGGAGTCAATGCACATTTAGCTGACCTAATAAATGAGATTCAGTAAAGTTTAGAATCGACATGTTGACGATGATGGCTGTGAACCATTCGGGTTCTTCAAGTTTTTCCACACTGCTGTCATTACTGAAACCACTCTTAGATTTTACAATCATTAACACTAGATGTATCGCTTAGACTCTTACAGCTTAGGTATTCTTCGTTTTGGAAGAATCTCCTAAGGGTCGATGCTCAGTAATATCAGGGATTCATTTTGGGTCACAGATTAGGTAGGTAAATATATATATATAGATGGTTTATTGATCAGAATAACGATTGCATCTGGTAAAAGCTGAATTACGTTAAGAACTGTAAATATAATGAACGAATTTCTAGTCGGTTTGTATAAATAAGGTTTCAAGAAAAAGTATAGTTTTATTATAAAGAAAAAATAGAAACAAGGCTTACTCACCATTAAATCTCTTTATAGTTTTGTTTTAGTGATTTCAGAGAGTGCCTGGACGAGTACCTGGACAAATTTCAATTTTTCTAATACCCTAGACATTTTAGTACCAAGCCAATTGGCTCGAATGGACCGCAGACCTATATTACACTTATTCTCGTTGAAAAACTAAGCCATAATCGCTTTAAAAAACGATTTCAGATGGTTATCGAGTCCACAAAATGAGGTGGATAATGTTAATCCCAAGGTGTTAGAATTTCGTTCTATAATTAGAATCATTCAGAAGATGTTGGCGCCCGAGTCGGACCGAATCTGGGCTCGTCGAAGCAGATTTTTCATTTATTTTTTAGAGTGTCGTTTCATATACTTAAGGTGTCCAATAAGAGTCAAAAAATAATCTTACGTCGTCAAAATTGATCGTAATGGCATATTTGATATGTAAATTTTAAAAACCCAGCTGTCATTCTAAAGGTCGCTAAAATAAAATAGGTAAAGTCTAATTCGAAAAATTTCAATTTGGTAAAAAAATACTAAGAAATAGAAATTTCAGGGGCTAATAATTGAATGCATTCTTTTGATTTAGATTGTAATGCTTAAAAGCATTCACGGAATGAAAAAACTAAATATGAGATGTAATTTCCTTCGCGAGTTGATTTTGGGCCGGTAATAGGAATAAGTTACTTAGTATTCTAAATGGGTTTTCTCCATTGCTCTGATACGAACAATGTAACTCTTCAACAGCTTGGCTTTCTCTTAATGGTTTCATTACTGACGGTTATACATAACTACACCATCTTTGAAAAAAAAAAACCATTATTACAGCTTTTATTATCATGCATTCAGAGTAAAAGCCCTTACATTGTGATTTGGGCCCCTGCAGGGAAAAAAAAGGCGGTTTCATTGAATTTTTAGAAATTCAACTGTTAAGAGATAGGAAATATTATCGTGTATTTGGATTAGGCACTTATATTGTAATTGGACCTTGCGCCAGATAGGGAAGGAAAAAATATTGGACAAATACCTATATCAGGATTTCTTATCCCATTGAACCATTTGATCACTATAAAAATAACAAGGGATATTTGAAAATGATCTTTAGTAATGTTTCCAAATCCCCTCAGCGCAAGACAACAATTTAGTATAAGCAAACACATTAAGGCCCCGTCCAGAGTCATATCCGGATATTTTTGAAACGAATTTTTTTCCTTGGCGGATTGGCCTTGACAACGCAACTTCTCGAAAACGAGTACGTGTGGACGTAAAAAAAAAAAAGAAAAGAAAAAAAAAAAAAAAACGGTCCGAAAACGCTACGTGTGGATAAAAAAAAAAAAWATATATATATATATATAACCTTTTAAAAAAATACGGGCGGATGGGACCTAAGAAATAAGTGCTTTTCCTCCTAATGGCAATTAGTACGGAAAAAGTATGAGGGCTTTCATTTAATTGAGACCAGAAATGGAAAGCCAGGGAAAAGAGGTATGTAATAAACCCCTTTCTACAATCGATATATTTGACACTTAAAATAGTAAAACTAATGAAGGAAAGAATAGGGAAACATAATACACATCATGAGTTTGAAAATTGAAACATTATTTTATCAAGATACATTAAAAATACATACATTTGCATTTGTCTCAATCTCGTATCCAGAGCCCACGTTTCTCTTGGTCAGCATCGGTGCTGACCAAGAGGAACCGTAACATTGGCTCGGGTACGAGATTGCACTTGTCTTAACCTGCATTGCTCGGCGGTCTGCGGTCTACGGTGTTGCGCCGGGCAACACAAGCTATACTTTTATCTATTTATGTGTGTGGGTAGAGTGGGAGGGGAGGGGAGGGGGTGGGGGAGGCCTCTTGCGATTACCACATAGGGAAGATCTAGAGAGGGAAATAATCTATTCCAAATAATGGGTCACGGTAAAGGTTTGATATCTTAAAATTGAGACATGAATGCAAGGCTTTAATAGCGTTATAGTACTTCATGCACGGTACAAACACTTGAATCACCAAATACTTTTATTGCTAGGAATAGAAAAATATACCATATACGACGTTATAAAATGTTGGTTGAAATACTACTCCATTTACTACTCAACAACGTGATAAATCGAATCTAAAGCACTATGACTACTGATCCTTTACAGATTTAATTCAATCTTGAACATTTTATTCCAGAGAGCCTCGGTATCGTGCTAGACTTTAGTTTGATGATATTTCGAACGTGGCCTATCGGAATCTATGTCGCCAGAAATTCATAACTAGTTATGAACTTCTGACGTCGCTGCTTGAACGAGTCACTAGCTAGGGAACGTTTAACTATCATATCAACTCTTCATTGGTCAGTGGCCGGACACGATTTATTTTTGGTACAAAGAACCAAATTTCTATTACAGAAAGTTCCTAATAAGCAGCGAGATAAATACAATTATTTGGAATGGCATTAATGGCCTCACTGTTATCGGCGTCATTCATAGTTGTCCCATTTATTAAATAGCAGAACATTTATAAAAAAAACATCGTCTGATCACTCGTAGGGTGTGGAAATTCGTGGCAAGGTAGGCGAGCGTGGGATAGTAATAAATCAACACATTGCTAATTCGTCGTTACTAAATTTGTAATTAAAATGTATCTGTATTATCACCTTTTAAATTTTTTGTACTTTATGGGCTCCCTGTGGTTGAGTAAAAGTAGCGGCTACCAAGTTACTAGTCAAAACTCAAAATGGCGGGTCTTGACTTGCAGTTGAAGGTTCGACAAAATGCTGAAGAACTTGGAGATTTTTTAAAAGATTTAGATCGATGGGAGACTGATATAAAGAAGAAAGATGAAGAATTGAAATCCTCAAAAACCTTGTTAAAAAAGGTGAATATAGGCTGATAAAATGCCATTTAGTCAAATATATAATGAAGCCACAAAATTTATATGGCAAACTGTATAATGTGAAAATATGAAAAGTTAAACATATTAAGCTTGTAACTTAATTGTTATCAAGATAGATATATTAATATATGAAAAAACCAGCCACAAATTGGTTTTCTTTAGCCTCTAGCCAACCATTATGCAATTTTGTGGTGCATACAATGAAGTCATATCCAACATTTTGGTTAACTTTGAAAAATATTAAAGATAATCAGCTGGAACCTTTGATATTTTTGACAAGCAGCTTTAGAAAAGCAAATTTAAATAGGCTTTTTCTGATCAAACCAATCAATCAATCAATAAACTTTATTTAAAGAGGGTGACATATTTACGGCACTCACAAATGATGCATGATGGTCTAGCTTGGGTAAAAGCACCAACATACAAGGCCCTCTCTATAAGGCATGATGTACAAGAGATGTTCAAACTGAAGCTAGATCACAATGCATCATGCTCACTATCTCAAAAAATGTCAATGAGCAACTTGCAACCACTACCATGTTCTTGTTTAACATTGAAAATAGCAGTAGCAAATTTTATTAACAGCACTGAATAAAGACATGTTTTTACTTTTTTGGGGGAAATACAATTGTCATCATCATCAGTGGTAAGAGTATCAAGTAGTTAATCTGAATTTATAATTAATATTGTATTAATATTATAGTATTATTATAGCCTTGTAGTTTTTTTTCTTTTTTCTTCTTCTTTTTCTCCTTTTTCCTTTTTTTCTTTTTTGACCCTTAATGAAAATTTTGACAGCAAAGCTTTAGCTCCTTTGGCTGTCGTACACTTACACCTATTGTATGTTAATTATAGTAAAAATTCTAAATATTATTCAAACTATATATATTCCTGTAATTCTATTATATAAAATTGAAGAAAAAAAAACCAGTGTAAATAACTGAAATTGAATTGAATTGAATATGCAAGGACAAAGAAAACCAAGATAGCTATTTGTGTTTATTCTCATGGAATGGGATGCAAGCAACCAATAGATATTTTCATTTTGAGCATACTTTATGTCAACAGGCATTACCTCCCGTAAGAAATCAAAGAAGAAAGAAAAATGCAAAAAAGAAAGTAGAAAAGCCAAGCAAAGATGTCAAAGATGGTCCCAAGAGATTAAGTTCTTATGATTACAATGCTTGGGATAAATTTGATGTGGTAAGGCACAGAAAGCATAATTTCCTATGATCAGTTAAAAAATATTCAACACTCTATATTCCAGTGTGTGCACCTAATTAACCTTTCCCAAATTCATTTGACTGAGCACTAAACAATGGTTTGAAATCAAGACTCGACTTGATTATTTTGTTCATCAAGTTCAACCTCGACTTGAAACCATTTTTTCATGATCAGTCAAGCGAATTCGGGAAAGGCCTGTTCAATAAAAGTTGTCAATAGCGATAGGCAAAAGAAGATAGGCCATTCCAAGATCCAAGAATAGCTGGAATGACTTGTGTTTCTGCTTCTTATTCTCAACAAGAACACGAACCATAGTGTTAAGACTGATTCAATGTTCTTCATATTCAACAAAAACCATTTCTTATCACCTATCATCTTTGGCGATGACAACGTTTTTAAAAATAGTTAGGTTGCTATGAAAGAGATTGGTGAGAAAATGGGGGGTGTTAAAAAAAGGCATATTTTACCTCTTTTCTTCACTCTTGAAACCTGGGTTTGATTCCAGTACTCTACATCTATGTGAGTAGAGTTTTTAGTTGGTTCTCTCTTGTGCTTTTAGGGGGGTTTCCTTTGGTTTTCATTCCCCCATAAAATTCAACTTCTAAATTCCAATTTAATCATTGAACAAGGGCCACAGGTTGATAGCTACCCACTGTTATCTTCTACCCATATAAAATAAAGACAATTTCATAAGGAGATCTGAGATCTGTAATATCTGACATGGTTTCATAGGATGAAGAACTGAAAAAACTTGAAGAAAATGAAGCAATGGAAACAGTTTCATCATCTGAAGAAGATACTTCTGATGAAGAAGACATTGAAGAGGAAAGACGACTGCTAAAGGCATTGCTAGAAAAAGACAAGGTATAGTCTTAATGTCTTATTACACAAGATTACCTTAGACTAACCCTCTGACTATAATATAAAATAATGGTTGTTATATAGCTCATTTATACAACATCTCAATGTGCTTTACATCTGTGATCAGTGAAGGACTCCACAAGCTGCATATTAATCTGCTATTAGCGGCCGTGCAGCTTACAATCATGAGTCATTTGTTAGTATGTTAGTGTTATGCCTCCAGATTGGGAAAAGCTGGTGACCCAGGAGACAATCCCCTACTCTTACACGAATAATTCAACAGGTTCTTTTATGTCCACCATTTTACTGCGGGTTAGGAAGGGTTGGGAGACAGGGCCTACAGTTTTAAGTCCTTTTCTGAGAAGATTTGAAGGTCTAACCAGTTGCAGATGTTATTATAAAGGCAGCACCTTCTCCTCAGTTATTTTAAGACCCTGAGTGTTGGTCCGGCCGAGACTTGAAACAAGACCTCCCGCACGACAGACCAAGGCTCTTACCAACTGAGCTAACTGGGTGGGGGTCAAACCAACTATGCAGGGAATGAGTGAGAAATGTATTCAGTTTACTGCTCCAGTATCGAGTTCTTTGTTGCCCAGGGTTGGCCTCAAATTTGTGCAGAATATTCATGTGTTCCAGTGTTTGTATTTTTGAAGTTGCGCATTCTTTACCGATGGTATTTGTAAACATTTAAACACTGATACAAGGTTCCAATCGATTGACTATAAGGAATAATTTAAAGTATGCTTTAAAACAAAAAAACAAAACAGTGTTGACAATTCGATGCGTGGTTCTAAATATCATATTATTTTTTGAATTGACCTTTACAAAAAAAAAATAATAATAAATTATTTAAAAAATTATTTTTTGAATGTACCTTTACAAAAACAAAGGGCATTTCTTGGGCAAACCTTCGTTCGAATTTTATGTTCTATATTTGTACAACCGTTTTTTTTTCATTTTCCACAAGCTCTGCGCACACCAAATACGGTGATTCTATATTAGCCCATTGTAGTCTAATTAAAACCCAAATGATTAAATAGGCTATCCTTTAAGATTAACCAGGAAATGAATATGCTTATATTAGAAGACTTTTGTTATCAAGCGACAAGTATTTATCATATAAAGAATTCCTTATATCGTAAAAATTTTGATTCTGAACTTATTAACGCGTGCTAGATCATTGTTGCGACCAAGTAGATTTCAGAGGATTAAGATTCCCGTTTTTCCTTCCCGCAACGTGACCACGTTTTCATCGTTTCCCTACATTTCACTTTACCTTTTGCAAACCTTCTCGACAAAAACAAGTATTCTTTTGTTTATCTACTACTTGGAGATTTTTGCGATTCCTTTTCACTAATTTTAAAGAATTTTTTAATGGTCAACTGACGTTTCACGTTTACCGTAAACGAGAATCATGCAAACGTCTAGGTAAATGTTCTCCAAATCCTCGTTGGTCGCGATGTCATATTGATTCCATGAAAATGCATTTATTCTGCATCTATGAAGGAGTTTTCAGTCTCCTAAGCCATAATAGTCTCCTGACCAATATTTCAACGTCACAACGAATTGGAAATTTAGAAGCTAAAGTTAATGATAAGGATTTCTGAATTCATTTTTTATCTCTGGCCGTTCAACTCAATAACAGCCAACAACCTGGCTCTTTTGAAATTGTCCCAAAATAGCCAAAGCAAGCTAAATTATATATTTGATTAGTGGGACAATAAGACCACCAGATAGGAGGTGCAATGAGTTGTTTCAGTTAATAACGGTTCGCCTGATATCCGCATGGTACAAAGAATAGCTTATTTTAGTAAACTGATTGGTTTTGCTTCCGTACTATTTTGCCATCAAAAGCTTGTTATTAATAATGGCACTTTTTTAGTTTGCGATAATCCCAAGCGGAAAAGCTTTCCAAAAGAAGTAAAACACGGAAACTCTACTGTCGTTAAACACGGAAACTCTACTGTCGCTGTATGTCTCGGCAATATACTTTACAGGCACGATCGGCATATTCGTTGATAATTAAATGGAAGTGTTCTCGAAAAATACAAACAAAATTGTTAAAAGCGATTCATTGAATCAAGTTGTAGTTTATGAATACTGGTCACGGCAACATGTTGGTAAAGTTTGTTTGGTCTTTCCCATGATTCGAGGGTTTCTCTCCGGATTGTCAAGTTTTCCTCCTTCTGCAATACCTAATACGATAAATTTCTTTTCGATCTGTAAGCTAGCAGTGCCCCGACTTAGATCAGCCCAGAGGTCTTTTCAGCGTTCTATCTGTGAGTTAGCCATGCCCGGACTTAGATCAGCCCAGAGGTTGTTTCAGGGTTCTATCTGGGCCGGGTTAGCCATGCCCTGACATTGAACAGCCAGCCCAGAGGTTGTTTCAGGGTTCAATCTGTGAGTTAGCCATTCCCTGACTTAGATCAGCCCAGAGGTTGTTTCAGGGTATCGATAATAATTATATATCATCATTTTACAAAACGAATCTTCAATTAGTCTGTTTCTGTTCGATGGAATTAAATCACACCATTTCCAGTTTCGTGATTTGCTTGGTAATTGGCTGAAAATTCTTTACATTTCGTAAAATCCAGTCCATGGTTAAATTTTTTCGAAGCGACCTCTCTCAGTCGACCTCTCTCAGTTCTTTATTCCTTTTGCCAAATCCGTTCAGTATTCAAAACCAAACAAAACGTTTTTCGATACACGGATATTTCTTAGAGCTCAGCTCAGCTTTACTAACATATGTTAGTAGTTTAGTGTATGAGAGTAAATTTGCGCTAAAATAGAAAACAATCGATTCGTATTCAATTTTTTTAACCAATAAAAAAGGAATGTATTTTTTAATGGTAAAAAGTCGAAGATTGTGGCACAAGATATTTCTTAGAGTTTAGTGGTCTGGTGGTGAGGGGGACGGTGAGTGAGGGAAGAGACGAAATCGATAGTTGAAATGTCATACTTACTTTATGAATTTTTTCGACCATTTAATCATCCATCTTGCATGTTTGTTCCGATTCGTAAAACGCTGCCGTACCGCCGAAGCAGGAACTACGAATTTGTTGATGTCAGTATGAAAGATATTTTGTTATAATTGCAAGCCAATCAACCGATCAAAGTGCGCGATATATTTGGAGTTGACGTAAGAGGGCAGTTTACTATTCTACGCACTCTTTCTCTCATCCAATCAAAATGAGCGAAATATTACTGACTGACGTCGAAGGAAAGTCTATTGTTTTGTTACGCATACTAATCAACCAATCATATAAGGTATTGAAGTCCCATGCCTGGTTAATAACCAGTGCAGTTCAGTCATGATCCGTATCGTTGGACCATTATTAAGTCCATCGCATTTCATTTCAGGGGAATGATTTTTTCAAGGAAGGGAAGTACGAAGCTGCCATCAGTCGTTACACTATCGCCATCCAGCTAGATCCAAGTAATGCTGTTTTCCCAGCCAACAGAGCCATGGCCTTGCTAAAGGTTCAAAGGTGAATACTTTACAACGATAATAATGAATGTATGACTGTGAAAAACCACGGCACTGTCACGACACAGTTCAATTAAACCAATCACAGCGCGAGAAATTACTATCTCGCATCAAATTGATCAACTACAGTACCATCAAGACACGTACTATGTTTGCTTGCGAGAGAAACTTATGATCGAAAAAATCTGGAGCGGGATTTCCTCTGGAATTTCCGCGTCAAAACATAGACTTCCCGCGCAGATTCAGTAAGGGTGGTGTTGATAGCCACGTTCTCATCCCAAGGCTCTAACATTTCCGTAGGTTCGGTGCAGCAGAGGAGGACTGTAATACTGCCATAGCGTTAGACGTTTCCTATACAAAGGCATATCTTCGTCGGGGGGCGGCTAGGGTACTTCTTGGGAAGCTGAAGGAGGCCCTGGATGATTACGAGAAGGCTTTAAGACTTGAACCAGAGAACAAACAAGCTAAACAGGAAATTGCTCAACTAAAACAAGTAGGTGCTTGGAGACTGGCTGTGTGCAGGGCAGGTGGGAGAAGGGGGAGGGCCATGCAAAAATGGTCAATATTGTTACATATTCCAAGGATGAAACGACCAGGTTGAAGACAGGTTATTTATAGGGTAAAAGCTGATGTACTTTCAAAGGAAACAGTGACAGTAACTACCCCTATCGACACCAAAACGACAAGAACAATAATAATCGCATTACAACAACTAATATGTGTACTGGATGTGTAATCGTTTCGATGTGCTTCTTTAATTTCACAGAAACTTGAAAATGGCAAAGTCTCAACTTCTAAAACGGATACTCGAGATGCAAGAGAATTAAAAAGCAAGGTATTAAGGAGTAAATAAATGGTTGGTTGGTTGGCTGACTGGATGGATGGGTGGTTGGTTGGCTGACAGGATGGATGGTTGGTTGGTTGGTTGGCTGACTGGATGGATGGATGGGTGGTTGGTTGGCTGACAGG